AAATTTCGGGATGAACTATACATCCAAAAACCAACGTTGAAGTGGTTTGAAAATAAAAATACAAATACAAATATTTTTATGTGGAATCGGTTCTCAAAACGAAATGAAGCTGAAATGAAATGTGTGGAATGTAGAACACCAGTAAAATAACCAGCCTACAACAAAAATCACATGTTTAGTTTTTTTTTTTATCACAAATCCAAAGTTCATCAAAATTTCCCACTATTGTAGTTGACGTCGTCGACAAAAAGCGACGAATTCAAAATATTGATATTACTGTGTTTTTTTTTATCGATAACTATTGACAGCAATTAACACATTTCGATACTGAGTTCGCAGAAATTATGCATTAGTAATTTTGAAAGAATACTTATTTTTTCTTAAGACATTCATACAGATTTTGATTAGAATGTACAGCCTTGGAAAAAAGTATTAGGCACCTCACTAATTACCGAATTTTTTGTTTTAACAAGTGAAGTATCTCACTGTTACCGGTAAAGTAAATTTTGTTATTTTTATTTAACACACGAAGTTGAATTTGGTATTCTGGCGAACTGGTTACAATGTTTGAAAAAACTTTGGCAGAACTGCTTTTTTCGTCCATGTAAAATTACCAAAGGGAAGAGGTAAAGTAAAAAATAGAAATATTCAAATCGAAATGGAAAACTTGTTTATGAAATCATAAGTATTTGAACCTTATTTGGAAAAAATATGCCTAAAAAAAAGCTGAATGATAACGTTATCTTTCAAATTGAAACGGTATTTTTTTTCTCGCAACTTCTTAGCATACGTCTTTTTCAACTTTTTTCTTCATCTTCAATGAATTCTAAAATATGCCTACCCAATTCGGTTTTTATTTTTTCTCAAAATAACAACTCAAAATCAAACAGATTTTTTGTTACCTCCTATTTCGATGGTAACAAAATTTACAGGGTGACCGTGAACTCAGAATACGCAATAGTAACAAAATTTACCGAATGGCAATTTTAATACCAAAGTATATTTTGTTACGTCGACAGAATAGGCCTGTTAGTAGGTCCACCCTTCGATTCAATAACGGCAGCAATTCTCTTAGGCATGATGCGTCCGCACTTATAGCGTACCACTCGTTAATTAAGATATTCTTTAAGGCAGTTATTAATGTTATACTCTGTTCCTTAATCTTGCTTTTTAAAATAAATAAACTAAATTGTGCTCAATGGGATTAAGATCTGAAACTGTGCAACCTATTAAAACAATGTTGTTATCTCTAAACCAACGCATCGTAGTTGCCGATTTTTGACAAGGAGCATAGTCTTGATGAAATATAACCCCGTCTAAATTAGTATCGCCGGAAGGCAGAAGAACAGCTTTTAATACATTTATGTACTTTTTACTGTCCATGCGGCCCCCGTAAACGAACATTTCACCGATACCAGCAGCCCTAGATCATAATGCTGCCACCTCCATGCTTACCACGCAATCTGGTTGATATTCCTCCCCAACCCGTCGCCTCACGAACGTCACACCAGGTGTTCCAAATATCTAGATAAGATTTGTATTATGTCTTCAAAATTGCTTTGGCTGTTAATACTTTAAAATGATTTTTTACTTTAAGATGATTTTAGCTTACCTCGAAGTTTGATCCATCAGACCACAGAACATTCGATCGATCTTCTTTCTTGAAATGTTGGTATCGGCGAGCCAATTCCCAACGATGTTTCCTATTCTTTTCTGAGAGCCAAGGCTTCTTTCGGGCTTTACATCCTTTTAAACCTGCTTCCACAAGTATTCTTCTATCTGTTCGAGCACTAACTGGTTTACTAAAATCATCCGAAAGGGCACTGCAAGGGCAGAGGAAGATTTTTTGCGATCCTTGAGAGACTCGCGTATAAGTATTCGGTCTTCTCATTTACTGGTTAGACGCTTTCTTCCACTTTCTGATTTATTATTGTGGGATTTCGCCTCCACAAATCGCCTGATAGCTTAGAGCTTGAATTCTAACTCTATCAATGTTAACTAATTTCACTTTTTTTAGGTATTTCGGTAAATATGAACTGTTTTAAAAGATTGGTAGCTTTTCACTAAATGTAATTTACACTTTCACTTTCAAATTTTAAATGCGAAAATATTTTATGAATTTCTTAAAAATTACAATTCCTAGATTTAGCTTACCCAGAGTGCTACGGCTTTTAATATTACACAATTTATTCGTTTAATCAACAGTTAAACACCCATGTAAGACATTTACAAACAGAAGTGGTAACTTAGATAGACACATTAGAGAATACTTGTATCTTAGAGGGGTGCCTAATATTTTTGGCCAAGGCTGTATTCTCAAAACGAAGATTTTTTTTTGAGTTTCCTTATTGTTTCTTAAGACTTTTTTAGGACGATAGCACAAGACTCTTTTGTTAGGTATGCATACATATACATATGTATATCGTGCAAAATTAAACGCCATTGGGCCCCCAATAAGCAACAGCAATGGCAGAATTAATTTTAAAATTTCTCAACAAATTAACCAACAGAGTACAATTTTGAATTTATCAAATACTCTTAACTATTGTTATATTAGGAGTGGAGGGATTACAAATTTGAGATGAATTTGAATTTTATTCGCCTCTTACGACAGGTATACCTTACCGCGGAAGAATTCTGTAACCCATCAATACCCCTCCCAGCGTAATGCTGATATTCCTCTTCCGCTGCTTCCGCCAGCGGTTACTGTATCAAATATTTTCAAAGCCAGAATGCTTTCGTATATCTCGTACAGTCCTCGTTCTATCCTCTACGACTTTCATGTCGGTTGCCGATCCCGAAAGGACCATATATTTTTCGCAGAACGTTTCTCTTGGAAGCTTCTATGGCAGACTCATGAAACGTTGTAATCATTGAAAACCCATAGTTGACATAAATGACGCGAGAAGTGTCAAAATATACAAAGAATTTAATATTTTATACAATGCGAATTTACAGAAGGTGAATTTATTACATCATATGATTGCTTGTTCTTCCTCCCATCTCAACAAATTACACAAACAAAATACATGACAAATAGGTTCTGACATTTCGAACGTCCTGTGGCGAATATGCGAGGCGAATGTCAGATGAAAGAAAGAAGCCGATAACTAGTACATTCTAGAGCGATAAAACGAGAACCTTCGATATGGAACAACTCGATTATTCCACCCTTTCTTCTACGAGCAGCCGACTGCTATATAAGGGCGACACTCAGCTGCCAGTCAGTTAGTTAAAAAGTGAACTCGTTGGCGACAACATCAGTATAGAGTGAAGCGGAATAAACTATTTGTTTGTATTGAGTCGTAAAGTAAACGCGTTGGAGATTACATTTAAGTAAAGTAAATTGTAAATTACTGAGTAAATAAAGGACATTAGATAAATTCTTTATAACGAAAGAAACTGCAAATTAAGTTGGCGATTTTTTATTCAACAATCCAGAGATCGTACCCAAAGGATTCAGAAAATCATCGTGGTTGATGCAGTAAAATCGTAACAGTTCGTTTACACAAACAAAATTTCGTTTTTAACTTTTTGAATTTATAATTACACAAACAAAATACATGGGAGTTTTGTTTTTGCATTCTTGATACTACCGTGTGGGAATTTGCCTTGTATTACACAAAAAAAAAACATGGGATTTTTGTTTTTGTATCCTTGCTTCTACCGTGTGTGAATTTGCCTTATATTTTATACAAAAGTCGTTTAAAGTTTCAAAATGTATAATGACAGCAATGAAGATCGAGATGCAAAACGACATGAAATTTACTATTATTTCGAATTGGCTTCTTTTCGGTATGTGCATTCTTTGATTTATTTTCTCTAAAAAAATATAATATAAATATAACAAGAGATGCCGTTATGAACTTAAATTTTCCAACCGTTCCGAATGCTAGTTTATTGTAGAATGATATTTGCCTTTTTAAATAGAACTCGCTGTTACATTCGCGTGAGGTAGTACCATCAATTTGGCAGCATTCGAATTGAAATGCTTTATATTATAAGGTAGTAGCACTTATTCTAATTCGAACTATTTTCTTTCGAATAGCAATACGTAGAAGGGATCCTGATATATATCCCACCATAATTGGCGAATACTGCTGGGCTCCAGTTCTTATAGATTGGGTAAAGCACGTTCATATTCCAATCGTTTTTGTAATTTCGTCCCACAGTAAGTCTGAATGCAGCTTTTCAGCTCATCCCCGCCATATTTGAATGGCTCAGCCGGTAAGCCATTGAACTATCGCTTTTTGAACAATGAGTCGAGTGAAATTCAGGCTAATAATCTCCGCTTGTTCTATTTTCACTACCAATCAGTTGACTAAAGAAGTGTGCACTTTACTCTGATCATCGGTCACCAGATCAACTCTTTGGCTTTGGACACGCTCTTGAGCTCTTTATATCCACCTATTTCCGTTTCTTCGTCGTTATTTTCTCAAATTTTTACTTTTTTAGCTGTCTGTTGCTGATACGATATCTTTGGAATGTCACCGGGATTTTTCTGTTGCCCTTTTTTGGTTGTCGTAACTACCTTTTGTATAGTTATTAGTATCGTTATTAAGTGATTTCTTCATCCATCATTTTTATCTATTTATGCTATTAAGAAGAGCTTGGAGGCGCTCTTCAATTGTAATATACTTCTGGTCAGTTTCTCTAGGTCTTTGCATATTCCTGCTTTTATTAAATTTATCCTGCTCTTATAGAAGTCAGTTTAACTAAAAACTCAACCGATCGAATACAATGATCCGAGTCGTTATACCATAAAAGAGTGCCGTGCATTAAGTAATTACAATCAAATCGATTTGGTTCCATGCCATTCGATTTAAAGAAATTCAATCTTCTAGGTTCTGGTATTCTCAGATCATGAGGTTTGTAAGTGTTGCACCAAGGTTACATTCATTATTGAATCTATAGTATGAATGCCAAAGCACAATATTGCATCGAGGAGCAGATGACTCCCATTTGAGGAATAAAACGGAAGTACATATTCTACAATTTAATTTCATTTCATTATAATACTTTATTATGATACATATTTAATAATAACTTGCCATAATTGATGTGCACATACATCTTAGTACGCAAGCTTGGTGAAGATCTTATGAATATACTTATGTATATATATATATATATTTATATTAACTTAACAAGTTCATTAAAGAATATACAAGAAACAAACAACGAAGGAATATCTACGCCTTAGAAATAAATTATTCTTTTTTACAAATCGTGAGTATACGTACTTTAATAATATAAGGCGGTTATAATTACTTCAATGTTACCATGTATAACTTAGATTTATTACTAATTTAAGTTAAAAAAATAATAATAAAAACATAGGAGAAGAATGCTAGTTAAATTAATAATAAATGAGATTCTTTCTTATGCATAAACTTATTGAAACTGATTTGTTCTCAAGTCATAACCGCCTGTTTTTCAAATTATTTTGCAACGCTGCAACAATAATGTTCGCAATATAGCGGACTATACAAAATATAGTTAAATCCTTGATAACATCCATCCAATAATATAGATTTTTAAACGCTAATCGCGATGTTCACCTAACAGTTATGACTTTTAAACGCATAAGTATTGGTAAATCTTATGTGTGAATCAAATAAGCCACAATACAAGGGTTGTGTTTCTAGTCTTCAATTAAAATTGGTTCACTGCCCTTTTTATGTGACGTGGTTACATTTACCGTACCTTTCCTAGAGTTGGAAATATTAGCCGGTGGTGTCACCTTTGGCTCTGACGCACTGTTTTCCGTCACTTTGACACACCTCATAAGAATCTTTTCGCTCTGATAACATGGTTTATGTATAAAACAAATATGTAACCAGAAATTATCGTATTCAAAATCGTTTATGAGTCCTTATTCGTACTTACGGTGCTACCATCCTTATTGGTTGTTAGCATTTTAACAGGCAATTGATCCGACGGCACAAATTTCCACCTTATTGGAAGTTTAGATTTCATCACGGGACTCTGCTTCATTAGATGCCTATAATATAAACATATTAAGTTATGTGGGTTGTTTTCCTTTCGTTTTTTTTTTTTTTTTTTTTTTTTTTTTTTTTTTTTTTTTTTTTTTTTTTTTTTGTAATTTATTTTTTAAAATGTGATATCTACTTTACTCACTGGTTAAGATATGTCCCCACACTTTCCAAATCCGAACAATGAACCACGCTTGTTACGCCCGGGACTTTAATTAAATAAGCATTAACTACCCGTTTCGCCCAAAATTTTGGCGAATTGTCGTTGCTCGCAGAACAAAAAACACCATACTGTTCAGTTAATTTACTATTAATGTTAACAGTTGCGTTGTGTTTAGATGTTAGTACTGAGCCTGTTCGAGATAACATGGTAGTCGACGCTTCTGATGCCTTTTTTGTTAGCGTAACGTTGCTAGACTTTTTACCAAGTATATTTGGGCCCGAAGGTGTCGAATCACTGCGCCGATGCGCCATAGAATAAGTACGTTGGGGTATTGGTATAGCTGCTCTAATATTTATTAATGGTTTAGGTGAGGCAGTACTGACGGTGTTTACTGCTGGTGAGCTCACAACGGGTCGTGGTTTATTAGGCAATATTAGACGAGGCGCAAACGATTGTGTTGTTGGGGGCTTTAATGGTTGAGATGGTTTTTTTAACTGCTGCACCAAAGATTGATTTGAGGCAATAACTTTTGGTACAGACATATTAGCTCCTTTCGAGACTGAAGGCGAACTATTTGATATTTTTCTCACATTGGGTATTATAGTCGGTTTAGACACAATCGTCGTTGGTGTTACATTTCGCGATTTAATTGGTTCTTTAGCGGACGCCATCGTTCGAAATGGTATAGTCATAACTTGTGCCTTTGTTGTTGCATTGTCTGTTTTGGATGCTGGTTGTGATGCAGGTGTGATTGATGAAGTAGAAGTAGTGTTTGCTGTCGCTACTTTTGTTGAAGTCAGACATGCAGCTTTCCGAGTACCATTTGGCATGGAATTATTTTGAGTATTTTCTGTGGTTTTAGTAGTGGCAATAGGTTTAAACACAACCGAAGCAATTGGTTCGAAGTCATCTTGTTCGATATTAATTGGTATTTGCGGCATACCAGCAGGCATATAAATTTCAGGTGTATATTCAAGTTTCTCAGGCATTTTTGTGATTGTTGTGGAACCTATAGTTGACGATTTCGAGCAATCGTCTAACAGAAATCGTTTCCAATCACCGTTAGCTACATTTTTTACTTCTGTTGGTAATGATTTCCGATTAATAGCGGCATGGGTATTTTCGGCATCAGCTGACGTCTGCAAAGGCAATATTTCGGGGATGTCTATCATCTTGTTTACTTGCGGAGTTTTAGGTAATGAGAATATGGCAGCATTACTACTAGACATTGTAGTCAAAGTAGGTGTTGGCAACGATTCAGTTGAGGTTGATTCCCCAGTAGCTGTAACACGAACATCGGGTGTAAGATATCTAACATTTGATAACGCACCAATAGTATTTGAGTTGGTCGCTATTGTTGTTTGCATATCTGGGCTCTGTTCACTACAGCTCACTGTTTGGTCTAAGGAAGTTACGCCAGAAATGAATATTGTGCTGCCGTAAGGGGCTTCCTGTGGTGCCGTTGTTACTCCTGTGATGACTGCATTAGGAGGCAAACTACACAAAATAGGGGTGGCCTGTTTGTCTAATAGTGTGGGTGCACTAGTTAGGTGTCCCACTGAAGAACTTTGCATTAATTTCTTTGACACCTGCGGGTGTGGCATTTGCGTTCCAGCTAATAACTCGGTATTTGTACTATTTGATAACATTTGTAATTGTGCAGTGGGTACTTCTTCTGGGTTGGTTTTACTACTTGTGTGATTTGTAGTTGTAGGTGTGGCACACCCTTTTATTATTTGCAGACGATTCGAGTTCGCATTAGTTTGTATTGTGAAATTTGTTAGTTGTCGAGATAATGTTGATTGATTAGGTTGAGATTGCAGCTCTGAAAGAGGTTTTACTGTAATATTAGGCTGTGATAATGGTATGAGTTGCGAAAATGGCATCTCAGGTTTGTTATCTTCAACAATCATGCAATCGTCATCGTCGGATTCTGCAATGTTAGGTTGTACGGTTTTAACTGGCTGGAATAGCTTCCCTTCAGCGTCCTTTGTATTGGCAGTACTTTCATCTAGTTCATACTCCAAGTGTATCTAGAAAATTTATACGAATTAAAATTAAATTAAGGAGAAAAAGAGTTGTAAAATATGTTGGCATCATAATAGTGCAATAAATTTGCAATGCTTTAATGTTTTTACCTCTTCATTTTTTCGTTCGACACAGAAGGCTGTGGTAGAACCATCTTGTTCTCCTTGAATGTTGTGCATTTGTTGATATGTTTCTCGCAGCATCATCTTGCGATCAACGCTTTGTAATAAAATCAACAACGGTAGCGGTGTATTCCATTTCAAAGGTCCAAAATAAATCTTTCGCTCAGAATTTGGTGTAACGAAAGCATCGTATGCTGCATTTTGGAAAAATTGCAGTTTAACAATCTTTTGTTTTTGTCGGCTGAAGGCCATTACTTTTTGAATGCGATCTAGAGAGACGAGTTCTTGAAAGTCGGGAACATAAATATGTGAAAAGTCTTTATAAAGATCCAACACTAGCCAACGATGTGGTTCAGTGGTTATATCTAGCCCATAAAGTTCACTAATATCAGCCGCCGTAACTTTACGGAACGAAATATTTGACTTTATTTCTTTATATTGACTGTTCTCGATCAATTCTTGCAACATCGTTAAACCTGATTTTGAATTCGTCTTATCGGTTTTAACTATTGTACTATTATTATTCGGCGCACTAGACGAGCCTTTACTACTCTTTGTTGGCGGTACTTTATTTTGCAGAGTGGTTTTAATTTCACTTGTTTTCTGTTCGGCTGTTGCATCTATATTAGGTTTTTGTATACTTTTATTGGTGTTGAAAAGTTTTTGTTTTTGTTCATTTTGGACTGGCGGTAGTGAAGATAGTAACTTTGGCTTCAAAAGAGATTGTTGAATAGGTGTAGCAGCCTGTGGGGTAACTTTTATTGGAGCTGCTATGGCTCCTTCCACCTCCAAGTTTTCGGGGAGTTTTTCGTTTTGCTTCTGTGCGGCCTTTTTATTCATTTCACGAATATGTTGCTTAGCCAGCAAACTAGATAACACGTTAATTTTACGTGTAAGTAGTGGATGGGACTTTGGTGTCGGTTTGGCACAAGCACTTGACTTATCTGCACGCAAAAAACCCTTAACAAGCCAATACTTTGCACGACCTTGCATCACAATCGCCAGATCATTAGTTTGTGGACTTCGACAACGTTGCAAAAGCATACGACCTAGTAAAGGAACCTGCTGCATTGGCAAAGCCGCTATATTCATCACACCTACTGCATTCAGCACCATCGGCATCATGTTACTTATTGTGGCTGCAAAGAAGGATTGATCATCGGCGAGTTTTACTTGCCATATAAAAACAAAACCCTCTACAAAAGCATCCAAGAAATTTGACCATTTGATGATGCACAATATTTCGTTATTCGGTGCAGGAATCACTTTACTTTCTCGCTTCAGTGCTAATCCGATGTCTTGCATTTTTTTGTTCACTAAACTATTCATGCTGCGTACTACGTCCTTGAAAAAATCTAAACGAGTCGTTGACAGTGAAGACGATGGTGGCATGTTTAGTGAGAGTGCTGCGGAGCACTCGGATGTGCCTGAAGAGAAATCTGTAACATCCTCAGAAACAGTCGATACTGAAGCCTGTGCATCATCACAAAGGGTAAGGTCTGTGGTTGACTTCTCTTGAGTAGAATTTTCAATAGTTTCTGTATTTTTTATTTTCTCCGTAGACACAAAAACGGGTGGATTACTATTTTCCTCAACAACAGAGCTATTATCGCGTTTTGAGACATCTTCTTCAATGCTATTGTTTCTGGCTGTGTTTCTTTTCCGGTGCTGCCGCCGGTTCGTCAGTTTTGTATCAATTGTTAGCTTAGAGGAAGACTGCGACAGAAGCGACGAAAGCGATGAGTGGCATGAATCTTCATCAGTTATTTCAACAATTGGTTGATCTTCGTTATTCTCAGTCATTGTCTTTGCTGACTCGATTTTCTGTTGAATCGATTCTGTAGACCAAGCATAATTTTATAATCATAAAATTTACTAATGAATCTCTTACAATTAAATCTACATTGTGTAAAATATATTGGTATTAAATATAAAGTATAGTTTGAAACTTTTTTAAAGACATAATATGCAATAACGGAAAAGACATAACTCTAAACGGTTTACCTTTGTTTGCGTTATCTTCCGATTCGGATATTTTCTTTTCCTGTAACTTTCTTTTTTTATTAATCGTTACTGATTCCAGCGCCGCTTCTTTGCGTTGCTTTTCAACTTCATGTTTGTGATAATAAACTGACCGCAAAATATGTTCGTTCAGCAAAAGCACAGTACGTTTGTTTTCATTCTTCGCTATGAACTCCTCAACTTCAGCACGTCTTTTACGATTTATTCGCAAGTAAGTTTTTCGAGGTATAACAACTACTCGACGACAACCATCTGCTTCAGTATTGAAATATTTATTAATGAAACTCTGCTCGCTGGGGCGACCCCGTCTTTCCTGCCGATTTGTTAGTAATTTCGGTCTTTTTGAGCGACTATTTTCCGCTTCAAAGTCTGAATCGTATGAGTCTCCAAACTCATCTTCCTGATCATTCTCAAAGCTCTCATCGTCTGTGCTATCGTATCTTGCAGCACTGCCTTGAGACTTTCGATCAGTACTTTTTCTTTTACCTAATCGTTTTTTTATGCTCACAGTTTCTTCTTGCAATTTATCCTCTTCTTCTTCCTCTTCTACTGCGTGTTCAACTTTCTCAAACGAGTAACGAGCCTTGGTGGATGTAACAACATATTCTTCTTCCGACTGTCCAATTTGCCTGTTTCCCAAATTTGCTGTCTCCTTATGGATGGTCGTCGTATTATTATCTTTTTCAATAACTAAAGGCTTTCCTTCGATTGCACGCCCACCACAATAACATTTGTACAACTCATGAACCATACACCATACTGCCATATTTTGGGTGTCTTCGAAACGCATTAAAGGAATGGTACAATGCTTAAGTTGTTCTAAGACGTTATCGTTGACATAAATTGGCTCGCGAAGCTCCGTAGTTGTTTCTAAAAATCCAGAATTTGGAGATGTATCTGTTGGAGCTTCAATAGCGACAAGAGCAGTATTTTGCGTCTTATTTGGGGAACCTGTGGCTAAAGTCTTGCCCGTATAATCCTCATCGTTGTCAGCAAAATCTTCGTAGCGCTTTGGTGCTTTTGTACAACGTCGTTTCTTATCGTATTGCGATTCATTGATGAGGAGGGTCTCATTTTCTGTTAAAACAATAGTTGAAGTAAATTCTTTCTCCATACGAGCCAGCCTCGCAGTGGCCTGTCTACGGAGCATAAATGCGTCTTCAGTGGTGATTGAACGACCCTAAGAATATAGAACATCAGTTCAGGAATTTTTATTGCACATAATTATAATGGACCTAAACAATATAAATAGGGAAAAGAAATCTTACATCTGTTTCTAGACGCATTATGCGTGACTGTGATGGAGTTTTACATGTACATTCTATGACACACTTGGATTTGCCACAATGTTGACGCAGGGGATAATCATCGGCAAGACTTTGACAGATACAGCCGAATGTACAATATTCTTTGGCACATGGTTTGGTACCTAAAATTCGTAAAAAACAAATAAAGAATTTATAGCGGTAAGAAATATGTATGTATATTAATAACTTCGTAGTTAAATAAGTAATTTCTTCAAACCTACCCTTTTCGGATTTTACAGCTGCATCAATTATGGTTGCGTTTAGACGTCGTAGTTCCAGTCTGGGTAGTAATAAAAAAAGTTATTTAGAAAACTTTTAACGAAACGGTGAGAATAGAAATTCTTAAAGATTTCCTGACAAAAACATCTAATTTACTACCATTTAATATACATAGTTTTATCTTCGACAATAAAAAACTGAAATCCATAAAAACATGGAAAAATTTATCTTGATAGATAAATGGGACTGAGCATGAATAATTAGCTAAATCAGATTTCTTTTTAATTTTAAAAGTGTACTTTCGACTGAATTTATTTATGGCGGTTTGAACAGACGCTTAAACAGTGATCGAAAAGAATTAAGAAAAAGAAAGTTAGTTTTTCTTCTTGGCAAATTGGAAAAATGGTGTGAAACGATTATTAGTTTAATTTGTCTGAACAAAAAAAAAAGCAAATGAACTAATAAGAATAGTATATATATATAAGCCATCAGCTGTTCGGAGGCTGTAGGTCCTTACATTTGTTGGAAAAAACATCAAGACGCAAAACCACAAATGGGAGGAGATGCTCGGCCGAACATCGCGTCAGCAGTAACAAAGTGTCAATATAAAAAAAAATATATATATATATAATCATCGAATCAAATTTTGAAGAGAAAATCGCAACTTAGATCCGATTTGATTTGTCTAAATGAGAAACAAAATTTGCTATAACATATAGAGAATACAGATTTAATATGCATAGTCATTGTCATTTGCATAACATATACAAAAACGCTATTAAAAATTATCTTGAGTCTCTTGAGTTATGTTCTATAGATCTACAAACATATATGTATATTGTCAAGTTTGGAAAAGTTGTTGGTTCTGGATCATGCTTTATAAATATATATGTATTTTTTTCATTAATTATATATACTTACAGAAGACGATTCTGCTTCTTGCTATTAGCAGTTTGGCCACCCAACTTTGATTCATCTGAAGGTTTGGTATTACAAATTTTTTCATCTTTTAATTTTCCAGATGACTTTTCTTGTATACTTTCTTGATCTACATTCTTTTCAATTCGCAGTCCGTCGGGATCTTCCTTAATGAAAGAGTTCTCACTGCAGCTAATGGCAACACTATTTATCATCTCACTAAGAACATCTGCACATTCCACCATCACATTATCGCTTTCATCAATATTCGCACGAAAGGAAAAATCTTCTACAGGTGACTTCGTAGCTTCGAAAGTTTCATCAAGTTTCTCTGAACGGTCAACTACGCGACGAACCAAAATGTGACTGCGATCGTTTAGGTATGGAATCGGAAATGTGAACGATGCACTTGTTGAGTTTGAACAGTTCAGCCGGTCATTTGTTTGGTTACTTAAATCATAATTTTTCTTATACTCTGCAGAATCCTGTAATGTGGACACGCTGAACTCTGCCCACTCACGTGTTATATCACAGTGCGGAAGTATGTAATCTAGGTACCGTTTGGCTACTTCATGTAATGGCTTGCCGAGTGCTGGAAAAACTTCCAGCTCTACAATTGGCATACGAACAACCGCCATGCTACCACCGGCTAATAACAATGGTGCAGTCTCATCATCCAATGGCTTCTGAAAAGGTTTGTGTGATAGTGGACAGGGTTTGAAAACACTTGGCAGTGGTGATTTATTTAATTTCTTTTTATCAGGCTCTGATTTAATGGGTTTTAAATCCCGCCAAATAAAAGCATCGCTACAAGTGTTGATGTTACATCTTTTTGACAACTGATTACTCGGAACTCGACTCAGATATGATTGTTTATTACGCACCACATTATTTCCACGCACTCCTGTAAGTCGTACACGTTCTTGTTCTTTTCCATCGTTCACATCTAAAGTTTGGTAATAGTAATGGTTGAATTCGGTAGTAACAAACGAAGCCGCTTGCCAACCTTGCCGAGTGAATGGCATTTGTGAATTTGGTGCCTGTAACAACTGTTGAGAGACGCTTTTTGATTTTCGATGTCGAATTTTTCTCTGCAGCTCTCGGCAAATGGCTGCCTCATTATTAATAATTGATAATTTATGATTCCTGTTGAACTTCTGCAAATATTGACGTCTCTCGGCGACTGTGCGTAATTTTTGTAAACTCTCTGGCACTAGAGGCATCTCAATCCGAGGAGGCACACAATCAGGAGTAACCAATCCATCTAATGTAGCTTGACGTAATTTGCGTCCTGATGAGTTTTTTATGCCTTCGGCTATACAGTCACTACTTTCCAGCAAATTTTCTCTCATAAATTCATTTAATGACTCACTGATAAATGCGCCATTTGTATTACCTTTAGATTGGGCAGAAAATGGTACAAGCGGTGTCAACATCATACCGGGTAACCGCTCCGCTTCATCAAAACCGAAGAACTCCTCACCTGAGTCGGTATATTGTTCATTGCAGTCTTGAGCTTTATCTATATTTACCTCGGGCGTTTTGATGCCTACAGAGGGTGGTTGCGGTGTGGTGGCTTTTACATTGTTGCAGGTCTCGGTGGATGTATTTTTGCTACGCACCTTGTTCACGAGCATATCTAAAAAATTGCTATTACTACTAAATGATTTCGAAGTTGTTTTATTGGTACATTGCTGAAGCATTTCGACCCGAGATTTGGTTGAAGAATTCGAAGGAGTTTCGAGAATTTTATTAGAGGGTGGTAATTCAACTGACTCATTGTCAACATCAATATTTCTATCGGTCTTATAGCTATGCCTTGGCTGCTCAGCGCGAGCTTCTACACTTCCCATGATTTGTTTTTCAGGAGTTGTCTCTAATGTATTTTGAAAAATACTCTCAGTCTTTTCTTTTTCTGATGGTGTTATATTGTTGCAATCTTTGGAATTGGTTGCATTATTTTGATTATTATCTTCAGTTAATATAATCTCACTTTCCATTAGTGGGACTATTCGTTTTCCACTCCGCAGTATTTCTAATTGCTCTTTCATCTGTTTGCTTACTTCATCTGGAGCTAGGTTTGCACGGTTAAGCATTGTATCCTTCGCTTTGTTTGACCCACTTAAAGTATCATTGATTGTTGTAATTTCTATACGCTCTTTGATACCATATTTTCTGCGCAAGTATGCAACCATCTGTCGTGACCATTGCTGTACATTTCGCCTCCGAGTTTTAATCACTTTTCGGTCCGCCTGATCAAATAACACTCTCCTCAAATGATAATAGTTGAGAATAATACGCGGTTTGTTTCCTTTTCGAATGGCAATGCGCTTAATAACTAATCGTGGGCTCAAGGCATACCAGAGAAATTTTTCAATATTAGCCAAATTAGATTTTAAAAACCCAATGGACACGTTGTACTTGCGTTGAATTTTCGGTATTATTTTCAATTGCTGCTCGGTCAACTGCATTATGAAGCGTATTTTAGTTAACTGAAAAAATATATATGTATATGGTTAAAAAGTAAAATTTTATATGTTTTTTTTATTGGATATTCCATAAGGAAGTTAAAAAGTTATGAAGAGTTACAGTCCAATAGTATTTGAAAATATATTTCATTTTGATCCCTATTCAATGTAGGAATCGTAGGTACCAACCTGGGATTATATTAATTAATATTTTTTTTACTTTTGTATAAAATTAATTTCCCTTAAGAATGATTTGTGTATTCGTCACTAAAAAAATAAATAAAACCAAAGGTTAAAATAATTAAATTTCCAATTACTGGTAACACATTTTTTATCTCCCTCGAAGGTCCTATGAAAGGATTTGGATATGAGTTATGTTCGATGAACCGATGGGCAGTAACAATTGTTACTGAATTAATCAAATTAGTAACCAGAGATCGCAATTTGACGTTTAGTTTGGACAGATAGTTGTAATTTCGGTGAGAAATGTCAGTAGGAATTAGAGAGTAACGAAATGTCAAAATTGCGCTTTTCCCGTGCAAATTTTACTGGCTTCTTGTCACACAACGTGGTTCTGTAAAAATTGGCACCAGTTGTTATCAAATATGGCTAGATACGAAACTCTTTATTTCGTGAGAGCGCCTAAAAATCCACATTTTTTATAACATTTCTGAACAGTGGCACTGTGATAGAAAAGTTGCTTTTTTGGATTCATAGAAGAATTTTGAGTATTTTATTACAATCAACGACGTCTTTAATTGAAATTTCACTGCTATATTTAATTGAGAAACAATCGTTGATTTAGTTCTATCAAGTTTTAGCATCAAAATTATAATAATTTCTTTAATGTTTCCTGCTGAAAAAATGTTTTTTTTTTTGACATAGTGGTACTGGTGGGTTGAGTACACCAGCTGTTGAATGTTCCCCGATCTAACCCTGCTGCCAGGATTAGAACGTGAGATATGGGACCGTTCTCGACTGCAATTTGAGTGAATTTAAGTAAGCCAAAATTGTATCTAGTCATCTTTGTTGTTACTGCCAATCAGGTCACCGCACAGAGCGGTGCACAGAATTATGGTTGCAGTTTTTAATATTAATTTTTTAACATGTATTGAGATGTGATTTTGTTAAAGGTACACGTTAATCGAAAATGGGGTCTCACTGGAGTGTAATCATCGCCCGCACACCACACAGTTTGCATTGAGAAATTGGAATGAAAGCTGATTTTAAATCCCTTTAATTTACTAGAAATCAGCTAAAGCTCTTTCTATATACATCCAAACTCGTTTTGTATTTCAATCATCCTTCTTGAACAAACAAAGTTTTAGTTTTATTTAATGAGAAAAGTAATATTTACATCCTTATGGTTTGATGGCCTGAATATAATTAGATCATTTGCTACATATATGCTTCATTTCTATTCGGGTTTATTCTAAACACTTTTTACATTTTCTCTACATTTGTAAAAGCGTTAACTCGGTAGCATAAACGCAGGTTGAGTTGAAATCAGCTGAATTGGATTTAACCTGATTGATACAGAGATTCCCTATTGCTAACTTTTTACCAAAAATATAATTGTTTACCTAAAAAATTATCAAAATTTGCAAAGTTATGGTTGGCAGCTTTGATAATAACCATTCTAAATTCAACTCGAGTAGAATATTTGGCGTTTATACTTGTAGGCTTAACCCGAGTAGAATATACCCACGTAGAAATGAAGCATAAACGTAGTTGTTGCTACATTACAATAATTTTTGCACAGGGCGCCACCTACACCTTCAGTATTTCAACATTGAGGAATTCTGAAATTTTTCAACCGATTTTGATCTATGCCGATTATGTCGGTTTAGTTTCAGAACACAACGCCCATTAAATGACTGTCTTCATTCGATATAGTAGCTCTTTTTCGCGCACTCTGCTTAACATTGGTCTGCTTTTTATGCATTATAGGTGCTATCTTTTAGTTTAGTTAGTTTGTCTTGCTGGCACAAACTTTAGTTTTTAAATAGCCTCAAAGAAAAAAGGCAGGTTGAGTTAAATCTGAAGAACGAGGCGACCACTCCAAATCACCATTTTTCATGAAATGAGCTTCATACAATAAGCACACGCTGTTTTCACGCTACGATTTCAGCGCGTTTCAGAATCATGCACATTTATTAAATTAGCTCAAAACCAACAGAGTAATTCAATATTCAAATTATAACTTAAAAATGCCGTTAAATTGTCAATTTTATTAAAATACTTAAAATAAAAAATAAAAATAAAACTGTATAGATAACTGTATAGATGAACCGATTAAAATATAACCGCCATAAAAACAGCTGTTATACAATTTGATAGCAAATTCTTAATGAATCCTTTACGGTGAAAATTCATTAAATTTCTCTCTTTGGGAGAGTAAGACACTTACTTACTCAATTTCGATACTGCCGAATTCCTCCTAGATTTTTTTTATTATTGTTCCCAAAAAATGTCAAGATTATTTTTCAAATTTTTAAGATAGTTTTACGAAGGAGCTAAAATATACGAAAAGAAGGAAAGTGTAGGACACTATAAAAAAATAAAAGAAAATACACGATTTTGTGACGCCTAACAGTTCGAAGCAGAGAATTAAATGCTTCTATTTCTTTGTTTTTGAAAGGTTTTCAGATGTCTTTCGTAGATAATAAAATCGAAGCCACATTTCTAGACAACACAAATTTTATGTATACGCGTGAAGCAAGCAGTGCAAACAAAATATATTTTTAATAACACTACCCATTATTTCGTATAGGAACTCTGTATTCGACAGAAAATCTTTAAAATCATGTTATTTAAGACCACAAAAAAAAATAAAGGAACTTTAGACAGAATTACTGTACAAGCGGATGTCATCTTTTAATAGATAAAATAATCATTTTCTACTATGGAGTAAGAAAAGTATTGCTTCTTTTCTTATTATATATTATGAGTTTTTATTACGCTATTAGGTTAGAAACGAATAACCGTTAAAATATAAATAAATTTTAAATATTCACTCGGCATGGCAACTCTGGCATTTTTTTTTTTACCCTTTTCCCCCCGTAAAAACGTTCCGGAAATTCGAAGACATAAATCTCACCAAACACACGGAATTTACACAAGTAATCGAATTATCAAAATTAGGTAATCAAATGGTCAAATGCTTACAAACAACGGACAACTTACACCCACAACTACTTAAGATAATAAAAAAAAAACACAGGTCAACGTAACAAACTTACTTTTACGTACTACTCTAATCGTCGATTAGCCAAGAAATGAACGCCGAACCACACATACACACACTGCAACAATACAGCACAACACAAATTCCAAATTAAGCAGTTGTTTGCTATTACCATTCGCCGGCACAAATTTGCATTGAACTGCATTTGTACTAGATATTTATGTATTTACATTTGTTTCCTAAATTCTTCATATGTCTTAGATATATTATATTGTTTTAAATTAGAAGAATACAGCTTTGTAATAAAGAACTTCTGTATGATCACTATGCTTTGACGTCTTTTTCACTTATGTTCCAACATGTAATCGTTTCGTACGCATATTGACAGCCCAACAAATCGCATGCATACGAAATGGTCGTTGAAACCTCGTGTTGTAGGTATCGATACGCTTTTGTTGTTGCTTCAAAGAAATATACTGGGAAATATACATGAGAATTATCGGAAAATAATTTAAAAAATTTAAAAGCACATTTGTGTAATACATAAATGAGAAGAAAAAAAATACATAAAAATAAAACTTAAGACAGCGCACTTTTCCAATTTGATACTCAAAAGCGAAGAGGTTGAAATTTTTCAAAAAAAATATTTATCATAGTCTCGTAACTATTTGTGTTTCATGTGTTTCGTTACCACTTAGGCAAGAGGGACGCAATGAAGGAATATGAAGAGATTGAAATAGAATCGCTCTCAAATTACGGTGTTTTGAATTTCGTATGTTTCACAATTCCTACATGAATCTTTTTTACTGTTCATTATTTGAAAAAAAAAATTAGAATAGAAGATGAGCTTAAAATAAGACTAGGATGTTTTTAGACAATTGAACATTTTTATCAATGGTGAAATTGGTAATTAAATCAAAGAGTGACATCTAAAATCAAGTAACAATCATGTTAAAAATATTAATACATACATATAGTAGTAAGTATTTATATGCAGTACCACTGAACATCATTTCTAACAGTTTTAACGTATGGTAATATTTAAAACTGTCGCGATAAGCGAGTATATTTGTTTGGCTTTACAATTAAGAAAAAATGATTTCGCTTAAGGAAATAATTGAAAAAAGATTAATTTAAATTAATTGACTTCCACGATATTTAAAAATAAATTATTTACCACAATAACAGGAAATGATGCATGCCATTTCATCAAATTTGGAAATTTTGCTTCAAAACAGAATAATTAAATGCATTTTAAATTTGGTCTGAAAGAGACAATTATGTAATGCAGACATACTTCAAACATTTGCTACTTTCCGCTATTTCGTCTGAAAATGGCTTGCCTATCAAATCTTCATTTCACGAATATTTTTTCTAATTTTGACTTATTCGAAGACACCAACAATCACCATATTGCTCGTATCACGGAAAAATTATTGTCGTTTCGCACATAAACTAACAAATACGTTTCACAATCTCTGCACTCAATGAAAGAAAAATGAAGAATTCGCTTCAGTGCAGTTACTACCATGTTCAAATCTCCCTGGGCGAATTCAATGAAAAGTCGGAAGTTGATAATTTGCTCTCTTCATATATTTATGGGCACTGACTTTTTATTGATTTACATTTTGTTTACTTTTTTAAATTGCTATATTTCTTGTTGAAAAAAAAAAATGGTAGAAAAACGTTTATTATGTCATAATATTGAAGTTTTTCGCTTTGCTAATAAAGCTGGAAATGTCACGCAACGCAATGAGTTGTATGTGTGTTACCGATCCGGTGGAGCGAATTTAACAAGAACCAAATAAGTTGTATTTTAAAAGGTTCCGTTTATTTCTAAAAGAAATTTACATCTTAAAT